AGGGCAGAGCACGTTGACCGCCTAGATAAGCTTCTGATACGGTCAATTTTCCAACCGAATGTTCAGTTCAGTTTTTACAACCATTAACCATGCACTTTCGTGCGCCGGTTTGGTTGCTATCTTTTGGTACCTCATTTAGATAAAAGAGCAAAATAAAGATTAGAATGTCGAAGCAAATTCAAGCGGAAGATGGGGAATTCATGTAGAGTGGTTTTAGGAGAATAACGAGTGGGTGCACGAGCGCCACTGTTTGCGACACCCAGCCATATCACTCAGTGTCTCTAACCATCGGTTACGATCATCTCGAGGTCCCCATCCAGGGAGCCTAACGCGGCCTATGTGACCTAGTCTCCTGGTTAGGGTTTTTTCACCCTCATGCCAGGTCTTAGTTTGACCACCCAACCGAATGCGTTTGGTGAGTTTATCATAGAACTTATATCTCTGTACGTCAGCACTGCAGTTGATCGGTGCATAGACTGAACTGATGAACAAACACCTTTTGGTGTCACTTCCCCTCGGGACGCTGATAGACTCTTGCAGCCGCATCGCACATAAGCGACTGTTGGCCTGCATCCAATCGAGTATTGCGGCTTAGGCTGTATTACTGAACTGAACAATGTCCACGCCAAACTGGCCTACTGAACAGGCTTCGTCATCACCTGACCTGGGGAGGAAGTACCTCGAAGAAGCTCCGGTACACTCAAGTGGCTTATAGTACTCCAAGCATGGATTCGCGTCTCCGATCTGCAGCAGAAATCAATGCCCAAGGAGTCTGTTGTACGCGCTGGACACGCTTGTTGACCCACCTGCATCAGTGTCCTCACATTGAAAGCATCCAGATTCAGTGTTGGAAGAGGCTTAAAAATCTGCAATTTACTTTCTCCAGAACTACTTACCGCGTTACTTGGTGACGAACTTTGGCAAATGACGGACCGGTTGTCTGGGTGAATGCTACGAGTCAGAAGAAGGGTTACAGGGAGAGGGTTGGGTACGAAAGACCAACAGATAAAGAAAGGTTATAGTGTCTGAGCAGTAGCGCACTTATCACTAAGCACACCGCTCTTTGCAATGAGTTGTGCAGTCCTGATTATCCTGTGCGACGATCGATGCAGTATGGAATTATTTATAGTTTTTGTATGCATTCCAGTTCAATGAACGGGTATCGCTAGGGTGTCAATCCACTAAAACTCTTAGTTCTGACAAAAACCTAATCGCAAGGCAGAGGATGAAGCGATGTGGAGGCCCATTTACTTGAATCGACTACTCCACCATCTTTCACCGCAAATTCTAGTCGAACCCACGTCCAACTTGGAGGACCAGGAGACTGGGCTTCGTCGGGCCTCTACCAACTGACCTGATAAAATCTCCTGGCTTGATAAACGCCTTTCTGTGTAGCTCGTTGGGTCAGAGAGGTGTACAAGCCATCGTACTACGTCAAGGTGCAGTCTCTTTGTAATGGAACGACTGTCATGGGCACCTTTGACGCCACTGAAATCAGGCTTATACTCCTGTGAGTGGTGCAGCCATTGTCTGGACCCTTTGAAAGCTGAGGATAATAATCGCTTCCCCTCACGATTAGGGTACCTGCTTAGTGTTCCGTTCTTTAGAGAACAGCATTAATAATTATCTCGCGTTTGAAGAACATTCATCATGACATTGGAAATAAAATCCAACGGGTAAACAAACTGTTTTTCGATAAATTCATCAACTGGTAGAGCTGTCACGCCTTAGCAGACTGTGGTTATTCGGTTACTTGGTTTGGATTGATTAGTTTAATCAATTTTGCCTCTAAACTTCTCGCCGGTATCATACTCCNTGAAGCGATGTGGAGGCCCATTTACTTGAATCGACTACTCCACCATCTTTCACCGCAAATTCTAGTCGAACCCACGTCCAACTTGGAGGACCAGGAGACTGGGCTTCGTCGGGCCTCTACCAACTGGCCTGATAAAATCTCCTGGCTTGATAAACGCATTTCTGTGTAGCTCGTTGGGTCAGAGAGGTGTACAAGCCATCGTACTACGTCAAGGTGCAGCCTCGTCTATACACGACGCATTACCATATGAAATTGATTCAAATTCTCCGACCAATAATTCGAAGCTCGTATTACGGTCAAAGGTAACAAATATGGCGTATCCGTAACCGATCACAGTTTGAATGATCTGGCGAACTGTGAACCTTACAATAGATAACTTGCTGTCGCCTGTAATCATAAATCCCCCACGTGATACAGTCACGTCGTAAATGTGTGCGTCTGACGGTAAGAAGGCTTACGTGTTATGTCTTCTGCCTCAACTCACGTCTGTCCCGGCATATCCTAAGCAATATTTTCCCAGCTACATGCGTATATGTGGTGGTGGTGGCGCAGTGGTTTAGTCGCTGTCACCGGTCGTGCTTTGGACCCTATCGTCCAAAGTTCAAGCTCCGCCACCACCACCCAACTTTGGTGGTAGGCAGCTTTGCTGTCGTCCGGTTCAATACCACGCCTAACTTATCGAGGTCCTATGTGGTTCGCCACTCTAAGCCTTGGGGCTTAGGTAACCGGTTTCTGTCACTGAATAGCAGGTCCTCGTGACTACGGGGTTCGCCCCGTCTGTTGTTCATCAAACGAAAGTGTGTATTTAAAACCCCCGTTATCTCAACAGTGCGCTCACCAGGGGTTTCAAACTAATTTTCAGATCTTTCAAGTTTATTATAATATCCGGGGTTCAGTACCTCGTAAGTGTAATTAATTTAACCGTAAAATTCGAACTGATAACTCCCATATTCTACATCACACTAATGCTAGTGTGTAAAACCCTGTCTTCTGTCTGATACATACTGGTTACATTGCTACGGAATATGCATCAATCGATGCATGCGCGGCAATTACTTAACTCGAAAATCGGGTCGGACGTGGTGAAAATGATTTAACTTCTTAAACTTTAGGATAAGGCCCGCATTTTCTTTTCGCTTCATTTTTAGTTCCTTTTATTGAACACAATGATACAATTTTCGGCAAGAGGGATGTGGTCGATGAATCGAGGCTGCCACACAACACACACAGAATGGGGAAAGTCAGACGATGGTGATGGGATTCCAACGCACGTGGTCCGCTGTGATAATTTGGTACTGTTCACACCGGGAATTTAACTGTTGCAAGTACCATCACCGCCCTTTTGTTTTTTTACCCAAGTTATATAAATTGTGATGTACTAACCAAGGAAAATGAATCAGTGAAAACGAGCCTTTTTTCATCATCATCATCATCATCGTCGTCGTCATCGCGCAGCGAAATACACTGATCGCTGCCAAACTCGCAATGCATATGCATTTGGGTTTGACGGGTGTTCAGCCACTAAGTAGGAGAACGATAAGAGTTCTCAACCAAAGCTTTTAGTTCTGACAAGAACCTAACCGCAAGGCAGAGGGTGAAGCGATGTGGAGGCCCATTTACTTGGATCAATTACTCCTCCACAATTGTCCACTGATTGAAACGCAAATTCCAGTCGAACCCCAACCTGGAGGACCAAAAGACTGATCTTCGGCCGACCTCTACCCATTGGCCTTTCAGACATGATTAGATTTTCAGCTTGACAAAAGCCATCCTGTGTAGCTCGTTGGGTCAAAGAGGTGTAAAAGCCATCACAGCACGTCAAGGTGTAGTCTCATCCTGATGGCAAGCCTTGTTTGCTACATTGTGTTTTATCCAAAAAAGCTACATAATGCCCCGATAGGATAAGCATGGCATTGAACTGGATGATGTTATCAACGTTGGATAACGGTGATAGGATTCAGACCTCAGAAATTAAGGCTGGAAGTATGAGAAAATATGACAAGATTGTGTCTTTAGGGGGGCATCCACTAATGCCAACAAATAGACATGAAGATTCCGCGCACGCACACACATTACGACGAATGCGATGTACACAGTGGATTGTTCACATCCTCAAGAGACCCACTAAGCTAAGATTT